CGGTTTAAAACCCCCCCCCCCCCCCCCCCCCGCCCTTGCATTCTCCCATAACAACCACCCTCTGAGGTCGGCCAGGCCGAGAGTTTGGGACAGCCCCACGGTCATCCAGCAAGCTTCCTTGATAGAAGTGGGGATTCAAACCCAGGTCTCCTGATATTCTAGTATGACACTCTGTCAACTATGCCACACTGGCTTGATGGTTCCTATTCCACTGAAATTAGCTGCCCTTGCACGCTTTTGCAGAAGGTGGTCCAAAACCTTCAACAGAGAGGCAGGATGGGGATTTTATAACACAAGACGACTTTGGCAATGAATGGGATAGCCATTTAAAAAAAAAAATACACACTTCTGTAGTAAGAGAGATCAAGGTGGGCAGCCGTGTTAGTCTGTCTGTAGCAGCAGAAAAGAGCAAGAGTCCGGCGGCACCTTAAAGACTAACAACATTTGTGGCAGGGGAGGCGCTTTCGAGACTCACTGCCCACTTCTTCAGATACAGCGAGAATGTGTCCATCTGTCTAATATATTAGAAAGCGGTGTGATTTCAGATGCCAAATGACATTAGCAGGTGAAAATCCAATCATGCCTGCTGTGGTCATTCACCTGCTAATGTCATTCGGCATCTGAAATCACTCCGGTTTCCAGTATATAGGACAGAGGGACTCCCATTCTCGCTGTATCTGAAGAAGTTAGCAGTGAGTCACGAAAGCTCCTCCTCTGCCACGCGCTTTGTTAGTCTTTAAGGTGCTACCGGACTCTTGCTCTTTTCTACTTCTATAGCCGTTCCTTTCCCTTGATAGCCAGGTCCTCCCAGTTTAAATAAAGAGGGAGGAATGAGATGCTGCTGCCTCAAAGCACCGAATCAGGGGTTCGATACGTAGCATTGCCAAGAACAGTCGGGCTGGGGGTGGGGGTGGGGGGCTTCTGCAGCGGTTTGAACGACAGAAATTGCCACGTGAAGCTTTTCCCAATGCATAAAGCGGCACTTTCACCTGCAACTGTTAAAGGCATCATTGCAGGGGCCAAGAGACAACGCCGGCCATCCCGGACAGAGACCCGGGAGGTCTAATCCCTTGCATTCCAGGTGTCAGTTCAATTACTTCACACGGGGCCCCAGAGCCAGGGACGCTGGAGTCTAAGGCACTGCTGAAGTGGGTATTGACCAGGTCAGACGACCAGCATCTAGGACAGGGGCACCCAACCTTTTTGAGATGGGGAGGGGGCATCGTCAGAATTCGGACACAGGGTGGTGGGTGCCGCCACAAAACGGCCGACACAGGAGGTGGAGCCCCACAGAGGCCAAGAGGAAATCCAAGCGCAGGAGAGATGAGGGGTGACTTACAAATCACGCCGGGAAAGAGCGTAAGAGACTCAAACCAATGTGGGGCGGCAGCAGCTGCTGAAGAGACGCTTCTTCGGTTTGCACGGCCAACGAGATCACCAATGGTCAAGAACCCCACGTGACACACACACACCCCACGCCCTCTCTCTGAAAACACCTGGTGGGCACCAGGAAAGGGGTCAGCGGGTGCCTCAGCACCAGGGGCCCCATGTTGCTCTAAGGTCTCTGTGTAAGGGAAGGCTGGTAGGTCGTGATTTGATGGGGCCGTGACGTCAGAGGCCGTGTCACACCACGCGCCTGAATGCATTCCAGACAGCCCTCTCCAAACGGCCGCTGTGCCCTGTTGCCATCGGCAACCAGGTAGAAGAGCAGGATGCAAAGTATAATTAACGTTCCGAAGCTGTTTCGATCCTTTCATTTGTGGGTTGAATCAGAGGGTGAAACGGGGTGGGTGGGTCTTCTCTACCTCTAAAAAGGCATCTCTGAAGTCCCTTCTTGTGATTTAAGAGGTGCTCCACACTTTAAACAACATAGGCTTTTGTTTGCTAAGTAACACACAAGCGGTACGTAGGTGGCCTGAATGTGACGATCGCTGACTGGACTCTCCATCCATTTATACAGAGCCAAAACACAAATCTTGTGGCCAGTAGTTGCTCTTGGAGGCACATCTGGAAGTCTGAAGGCTCAAGCATGAAGAAGAGATTGGATTTATACCCCGCCCCTCACTACCTGACGGCGTCTCAGAGCGGCTTACAATCTCCTTTTCCCTTCCCCTCCCCGCAACAGACACCCCTGTGAGGAAGGTGGGGCTGAAGAGAGCTCTGAGAGAACTGCTCCTGAGAGAACAGCTCTGCAAGAACTTGAGAATGACCCAAGGTCACACCAGCAGCTGCATGTGGAGGAGTGGGGAACCAAAGAATGAAAGCAAATGAAAGCAAAGAGATATTACCCAGTGCAAGCAGGTGTGTAATTATAAATAGGCTACAAGGTGGCCTGTTAGGGGGAACTTCTAGAGTCAGGATCACCCACAGCTTAGACTGGGTCTGCTTAAGAATCAGGATCTGAAGTTGTCATGCACACAAAAGTGACCCTGTGGCTTCAAGCAGGTTGAGCAAAGAGAGTTGACAATCTCCAAGTCTGGGCAGACAAAAGGGGGGGGGGAGCTCCAGAAAGAGACGCCGAGGCTGTCAATCAAAGGTCCAACCCAACTTGCCGGATGGTACAGGCTTCTTTGCAGGAGTCTGAGTAAGTGGGATCCAAACACAAAACGTTTACATGCTAAAAATTCATTTACTGCTTCTATAGTGCACGTAAGGCCTTTAACTGAATGACTTAAGGGTAGCCTGATCTCATCAGATCTCAGAAGGCAAGAAGGATCGGCTCTGGTCCAGTGTTTCCTCTAAGCTGAGTTAGTGTGAGCCAGCTCACAGTCTCTTAGCCTCCAGCTCACACATTTTTGCCTTCGCTCAGGAAGGACAGGTGGCTCCAGAGCAAACCAATTTATGCAGCCGGCCAAACTGCTCGCTCACAGCTTTAATGCCAGTAGCTCACAAAGTGGAATTTTTGCTCACAAGACTCCGCAGCTTAGAGGGAGCATTGCTCTGGTCAGTACTTGGATTGGGAGGCCACCAGGGAAGTCCAAGGCTGCTTACGCAGAGGCAGGCCATGGCAAACCACCTCAGTTCATCTCTTGACTCGAGAATCCTACCGGGTCATCTTAAGACAACTGTGGCTTCAGTGCACTTCCCACCACTGTACTGCTGTAAATCAATGTTTTCCAAGTCTTGGAAAAGCTGGAAAGGGTTACCTGTGTACTCTGTGCCAGCGAGACACTTCCCCTCCCCCCCATTGCTGGCCTTAATGGTCTGTGCAGGTTGACAACCAGTGCCTGTTCACATGCCAGTTTTTGTCTAACAAACGTCAGAAGCAGAGTCGACGATATGTAAGAATATGTATGTGGCTGGAGAGATCGTGAGACGGTTAACGTTTAAGCTATCAGAAATATTACCACTGAGACAGTTGCTTTATTAAACGGAATTTACGTTCCTATGATACAAGCACCATGACTTGTTCCTGGACATTTCTGCACCTGTGTACCAGCTTCTGGGTAGCCAGATAGTTAATGCCTAGCAATCATACAATGAGATGCAGCAAAGCCAAACCAGGACAGAGAATTGGAATTGGAACTGTGCCTCAAAGTTCCACCTCCGTGCCTCTGTACAGTCCCCCACACATCTAAGAATGAACATCATTTGACAATTCAGGACACTCTGTATGCAGCCACAGAGGGCACCGCCAAACTGTCCGATGCCCTGTCTGCAGTGATAAGCACAGAAATCGTTTGCATATACCACTCTGAAGGAGGTGAAAACGGGAGCTAATGGTGGGAACCAGAATCATCATGCAGCTCAGCTCAACGTAAGCAGCATGGACTGCCAAAAGTGGGGCAGAACCGCAGGTGGCAAACATCCTTGGAAATGCGAACTTGGAAGGGGCCAATGTCCATCTGGCCCCGTACCACCACACACACTCAAAATCACAGTGCCCAGCTCCCAGCCCTTAACTCCATTCAACCCAAATGACAGTCCAGCAAAAGCAGGACTGAACACAGAGAACGACCTCAAGATGCCCAGAAAATAATACATTCCAAGCTGACTGCAGCAAGTCAGTTAACAACACTGAACTACAAGGAAGGTATCAACGTTTTAAGGAACGATGAAATAAAAAAGGGGAAAGCAGACAGAAAAATTAACTACTAGACAATCTGTGCTGGAGAAAATTCCATGCACCGATCAGTCAGACAGCGGGTATGAACTGAAAGGCCGTCAAAAGCTAAAAGAGCAACTTTCTTGATTTCTCAACAAAAGATACTTGGGAGGAAGAAATCTAAGACTTCCAGCACTGCAGAAATACGATCATGCAGAGCAGTTTGTGCATCTCTTTCATCTGATGCAGAACACTGTCCTAATCATGTTCAAAGAACTCTGCAAGAAATTCTCTCTGAAATTGAACAACCAGGATAAAATACAACCCCCAGTCTGCATTTTAATGCCAGGTCTTCCTCTGCAGCATTATGGAGGGCATTTAATTGGTCTTTTTTCATCCCCCACACAAGCCTCAGACCAACTGAGCACGGCCCTTTTTCCCCCCTTTTAATTTCAAAGGACAGATGTCATTCTCCTTCCAGGGAAGGCACCACCACTACTCTAACGCTCCTGACATTTTTATCTCCCTTCCAAGGAGCTCATAGTGCCATACTTGAACCACTGCTCTTCAGTCGTATTCTAATAGCCATACGATGTAGGTCAGGCTAAGAGAAAGAAAGGCTGTCCCCAGATCAACTGGTAAGCTTAAGGGCTAAGGGAATCCAGGTCTTCCTGATCCACGACACCACATCTGGTCATACTCTCTCCCCTTCCAATCCACAGCAGACCCACAGCACAACAGTTGCAGCCAGAAAGCCCCACACTACAGGCCCACCCAACTCAAGTTCTGTCACAAACAGCAAATGCCGGGTGCATCCCAAAGAGCTATTCTGAACCCATTCTCTTCCCCGGGTGTCTCCCTCCCTGAAAGCTTACCTCCACCTCCAAGTTTGTTCTCTATCCGACAGGACCAGTGTTCCCTCTAAGCTGAGTTAGTGTGAGCTAGCTTAGAGTTTTTTTAGCCTCCAGCTCACACATTTTTGTCTTAGCTCAGAAAGGGAGGGCTCCAGAGCCAACTAATTCGCGCAGCAGCCAAATCACTCGCTCGCAACTTTCATGCCAGGAGCTCACAAAGTAGAATTTTGGCTCACAAGACTCCACAGCTTAGAGGGACACTGGACAGGACCCCAAGGCCCCTTTTCAAATCGCTCCTCCCTCAACTGTATCCCATTACTTTGTATTCCTGTTCAGCAAACTTAAGAACATAAGAGATGTCAGTGTTGGATCAGGCCAAAGGCCCATCCAGTCCAACACTCTGTATCACACAGTGGGCAGAAATACCAGGTGCCATCAGGAGGTCCACCAGTGGGGCCAGGACATTAGAAGCCCTCCCACTGTTGACACCCCCCCCAAGCACCAAGATGACAGAGCATCACTTGCCCCAATCTATACCTTGTGGCTAATAGCTTCATCCTCGAAAGCCCCCGCTGCCACTCCTTCAGAACAAGAAAGCAACCCTAACGGGACTGTCTAGCGCAGCATCCTCATCCCGGGGCGGCCGATCACAGGCTCGCAGAAGGCAGGCGAGTCCACAAGCCTCCCCCTGTCGCTACCCTCCAGCCACTGGCTCCGAGAGGTAGACTGCCCCTAACCCCAGAGGCTCTATTTGGCTTTCACGGGCCAGCCTGTCCTTAAAGCAGCTCATCAAGCACGCCTGCCTTTGTCACAGATGCTGGCCATGCGCACCCACCACCTCCGGCAATGGGGGCCTCCACTCGTGACGGGGCAGATTCGGCCCTGGGGGGCACAGGAGCTGGCCGGCCCGCCCGCCCTGCTTCCCAGTTTCAGACCTCGCTCGCGGGGAACACCCACCTCCTCTCCTGCACCTTCCCCCCCCGGCCCCAGAGGAGTTTCCCCCACCCCCACCCCTCACCTCCATGGCCACCGCCCGGGAGCCTCGCGGAGACGGGGGGGGAGACCCGCCACACTCTCCCCCTCCCCCCTTCTTTCTTCCCCCTTGCTCTTCGAACGGAACCGGAAGTGTCTCCCGCACGCCCAACCTAGGCCGGCATTAGCCGTCACTTCCGCCCTGCCTCGGCGAAAAAACCGTCATCCACCCTTCCGTCGCTTTAAGAGGAGAGGCGGGGGAGGGGCGAGGTTCCCCCCTCCGCGGCGAACTGGACGCCTCCTCTTGCCCTTCCTCCTCGGCGCAGGCGCACGAACCAGAAGGCCGGGGAACAGTCGAGTTGCGGGAGGCTAGAGCGCCCCCCGCAGTCCCCAAGCCGCCTCCAGAGGGGGCGGGCTGGAGGCTTTGAGCGGCGCCGGCCTTTCCGATTGTGACGTCACCCGAGCGGAGCTCGCAACGGCCCTAACGGTTTCTCTCCCCCCCCCTTCGAGGGTGGGGTCGACAGCGAGTCTTGGAGTGACGGGAAAGAGGCGACGAGGGGGAGGAGCTACAGGGCTGCGGGCGAGCGGAGACCTGTGGAGAGGAGCAGTAGAGGTGGAGGCTAGAGCGGCCTCCGGAGGGCCCCTCACGCCGGGGCCTGAGCTTAGGGGGGCTCCAGCGCCATGTCATACGCCTATTTGTTCAAATACGTAATTATCGGCGACACCGGTACGGGAGGGAGCAGCGGGGGGTTGGGTGGAGGAGCCCCCTCCTCTCCCTTGGGGGTGGGCGGATATAGCCCCTGTAGGAAGCATTATTAGTACCATGACACCTATTGAGGATATCTTTTCATTATTATATAGCTGTAGTTTTCACAAGCATCTTTGGCGGTCCCCTCTCTTTGTGCGCCTTGTCAGGGCTCTCAGCCTCACAACAGCCCTGTGAGGTAGGCAGGCACCCTTTTATACCAGCATCACAGAGAAAGCTTGGGAAATCTGGGTCTTTGGGATTCATGGGTGATGCTTCACTAGCCGGAAAACCCAGGCTTTTATTCATAGTGGATTATAATTACTTACTGTGAGACGCACACGCTCTCAGCCTCAACAACAGCCCTGTGAGGTAGGCAGGCAGGCAGGCACCCTTTTATACCAGCATCACAGAGAAAGCTTGGGAAATCTGGGTCTTTGGGATTCATGGGTGATCCTTCACTAGCCGGAAAACCCAGGCTTTTATTCATAGTGGATTAAATTACTTACTGTGAGGCGCACGCACACACGACCAGGAGCCATAAACTCTTGCAGACAAGGGAATAGTGGAGAGACCATCAAGATAAAACACCAAAGAGTTAGCAGTGGAGCCCTCCAAATTACTCTTGTTTCACGCCTGGCCACCAAGTCCAGAGATCCAACAACCAGGGCAACTTTTTGTCTCCCAAAGAATTGCCAAGAGAGTAAAAGGGGGGTGGGGTTAAGATAGATGAAGTTTAAGGGAGAGGCGGGGAGTAATGAGATTACTGACTATGCCCCGCCCGCTCTGATCCCTTTTTGCCTTTCCTATTGATTGGGGCGGTTTTCCAATCTCAGAAGTACCCACACTTTTGTTGACCTATTTTGACCCCATTAATTTCCCAGGGGACAACAAGGCAAGCATCTCTGTGAGATTCTCCTTTTTTTCTGTGACCCTCCAAATGCCATGTTCCCAAAACCCAATCACTTCAGTTCCGTAACTTGGCCTTCTCCCTTGACTTTGTTATGGCTTCATCTCTGAGGAAACGCCATCTGCCACCCCTTCTTGGCCGGACACATGGCTCTGGGCTGCTTTTGTACCGTCTCTGAATTGCTAAAGTGACCTGCAATGAGGCTTTCTTGTCCAGCAGAGCTGGATCCATTTCCTTCATCACAGCTGAAGCTGGGCGTCCAGGAATGGGTAGTCGTAGACTCACGTCATCAAGGCTGTGATTCAGACCCAAGGTCCTTCTGGGAAAGTGCTCATTAAAGGAAAAAGACTTGGGGGGTGGGTCTAGGATATGCCAGTCCTCTGCCAGTCCTCCATGGCCTCAAATGATGGGGTTTCAGCAGATAGGATAACAGCAGAAGGGATCTGTCCGAGGTCCCACCCTGTCCAGCATCCCTTTTCCTTTGGCAACCAGCCTGATTTCTCCAAGAAGCTCACCAGTCACAGCTAACTTATGGTGACCCTGTAGGCCAGTGATGGCGAGCCTTTTAGAGACCGAGTGCCCAAACTGCGACCCAAAACCCAGTTATTTAGCGCAAAGTGCCAACATGGCCATTTAACCTGAATACTGAGGTTTTACTTTAGAAAAAACAACTCATACATTAACTTAAGATGATCCAAACAAAGTAAGGAAAGCAATCCCAAATGCTTTCATTTACTTAAAATTATTTGGCAGAGAATTTGACACTTTAATAATGGTCTGGGCCTGGCTGGGGCGATGGCACTCGTGCCCACAGAGAGGGCTCTGAGTGCCGCCTCTGGCACCCGTGCCATAGGTTCGCCACCACTGCTGTAGGCTCTTCAAGGCAAGAGATGAACAGAGGTGGTTTGCCATTGCCTGCCTGTGTGTAGCAACCCTGGACTTCCTTGGTTGACCCTACTTAGCTTCCAGGACCGGGCTAGCCTGGGCCACCCAGATCACGGGAGAGAAGCTCACCAGCACAGGACAAAGTCAACCAGCTGTTTGCTCCTCAGCCACTGGCATTAGAGCAGTGGCTTGGTATTTATTTATTTATTAATCTCATTTGTACCCCGCCCTCCCCACAAAACAGGCTCAGGGCAGCTCACAGTCAATGCATAACTACAAGTAAAACAACCTAAAATAATCTAAAATCAGTTATAACGAATACAAATTCATAAAATGCTGGTGATGGTTAATCCGTTGTTTGAGATGGCTCACTTTCAAAGTATACACAGAGGTCTAGCAGTCATTCTGCTCATGATCTTCCTGTGGCGCGGGCTAGGTGTCAAAGCCAAGGGCCAGGGCTCTATAGTGGTGGCAGCTCCCTAGTTGAAAGCCTGGTGGAAGAGCTCCGTCTCGCAGGTCCTGCGGAGCTCTTCTCAGCACCTTCCATTGACCGGAGCCCTGCATTACAGGGACTGAATGATTAACACATTTGATATATAAATAAGTTAGTGGCACTCACCCACATTTCAGGAAAGTGGGCAAGGCCCTTGCCTAGTGGGTCTTCTGGTTGGCAGGTAGTTCCCGCCTTAAAACATCTGCTGCCAGGGGAATGGGTAAGCTGCAAGCTTCTCTCATGTCTAATATGAAAGTAGATACGGCTCTTCGGATGGATGATGATTGTGAATGTGGCTCTCTGTGAGCCACGGTATGGGTGCCACTGCATTAGAGGTACTGTGAATGTGGCTCTCTGTGAGCCACGGTATGGGTGCCACTGCATTAGAGGTACAGCAGCATTGTCAGTCACACGGTCACCCTTCCCCTTGGTGGCCATCTTTTCCCACTGTCCTAAGGTGACTTGGCCTTCTCAGGGGCCATGTTGCATGAGCCTAGAAACCACGCCTCAGGCAATCCTCCGACAAGTTCTGCCACGTGTGATGTAGTGGTTAAAAGGAGCGGGCTGTAATCTGGAGAAACCGGGTTTGATTCCCCATTCCTCCACATGAAGCCCGCTGGGTTACCTTGAGCCAGTCACAGTTCTCTCAGAACTCTCTCAGGCCCACCTGCCTCACAATGTGCCTGTTGTGGGGAGAGGAAGGGAAGGCGGTTGTCAGCTGCTTTGAGACTCCTTAAAGGTAAAGGTAAAGGTTCCCTTGCTCGAAAGCCAGTCGAATCCGACTCTAGGGTTGTGGTGCTCATCTCCGTTTCCAAGCCGAAGAGCCAGCGCTGTCTGAAGAAGTTTCCGTGGTCATGTGGCCGGCATGACTAAACACCAAGGCGCATGGAACGCTGTTACCTTCCCACCGGAGTGGTATCTGTTTATCTACTTGCAATGTCTTGCTTTCAAACTGCTAGGTTGGCAGGAGCTGGAACTAGAGACGGGAGCTCACTCCGTCATGCGGCACACTCGGGTCTCAAACTGCTGAACTACTGACCTTCCACAGCCTGCAGTTCAGTGTCTTAACCACTTGAGCCACCGCAGATAACCTTGAGACTCCTTAGGGTAGAGAAAATAGAGTTAAAAAAGAAAAGAAATGTGCTACTGGACAGGGGTCTTTCCTGATGTACTGCCCAGCATCTGTTTCTTTTCTGCTGCCCAAAATGGGGGTGTGAGCTCCAGCAAGCTGTGTCCACCTCCACAGCCAGGTCAGCTTCAGGGTTCATGGGAAAGCAGAGAAACCTGAAGAGCGCCACTGAGTGAGTAGGCAGAAGGCCCCATGTCACTAGCACCTCCCTCCCCAAAGGCCCTTTCAGCAGAACACATTACGATTGTGTTTTTATTGTTGTCCAAAGGTGTCGGGAAATCTTGCCTCCTGCTGCAGTTCACAGACGATCGGTTCACAACTATCCATGACTTAACAATCGGTGAGAGCCAAGGTCGAAAGGGGTTCCCGGCTCCTTGGTGCCCTTCAGATGGCGGGGTAGAGGAAAACAAGTGGGAATGTAGAGGGAAGAGCAGGACAGCGGGTTTGTGTGGGCCTGTGACGGAACCAGGGAAGTAAAAGCGGGTTGTGGGCTGAGGTGGCTGCATCGATGGGGGAAGATGTGATAGGACGGAGACACTTTTTTCTATAGACTGAGATAGATTCAGGTGGGTAGCCATGTTGGTCTGAAGCAACAGAACAAAGTTTGAGTCCAGTGGCACCTTGAAGACCAACAAAGCTCAATTCCAGATATAAGCTTTCCTGTGCATGCACATTTCTTCTGAAGAAGTGTGCATGCACTCAAAAGCTTCTACCCAGAATTACACTCTGTTGATCTTAAAGGTGCCACTGGACTCAAACTTTGTTCTGGAGATGGAGAAATAGCCTTCTTGCTTCAGATGTAGAGCCATGTTGATTTGCAGGAGAAGAGCTAGATTCTAGTCCGGTAGCAGCTTGGGTCCCTGAGTATCTGATGAAGGGAGCTCTGACTCCCTCTTGAGGGAGGGGCCGTGGCTCAGTGGCAGAGCATCGGCCTGGCATACAGAAGGTCCCAGGTTCAATCCCCGGCATCTCCAGTTAAAAGGATCAGGTAGGAGGTGATGGGAAAGACCACTGCCTGAGACCCTGGAGAGCCACTGCTAGTCTGCGTAGACAGTGCTGACCTTGATGGACCAAAGGTCTGATTCAGTATAAGGCAGCTTCATGTGTTCAGGTGTGTTCAGGTGACTCTTGAAAGCTTATACCCCCAAAATTGTGTTGGTCTCTAAGGTGCTACTAGAATTTAGCTAATATATTAGCTATATTCAAGCCAGTTTGGTGTAGTGGTTAGGAGCGCGGACTCTAATCTGGGAGAACCAGGTTTGATTCTCCACTCTTCCACACATACCTGCTGGTGTGACCTTGGGACAGTTACAGGTTCCTTCAGAGCTCTTCTCTCAGGAGCAGTCCTCGAAAGAGCTCTCTCAGCCCACCAACCTCACAGGGTGTCTATTGTGGGGAGGGGAAGGAGCTCTGAGACTCCTTCTGGTAGTGAAGGGCGGGGTATAAATCGAATATCTTCTTTTCTCTTCTAATCCTCCTTGTGGTATCATTATTTCTTCTCTCTCTCTTTTTACGCACTGCTCATTTGTATCTGGATAATGCTGGCTTTGGGGGCAGGAAAACTGCCCAAGGCATCCCATAGGTCAAAGGCCCCCAGCCAATGGCCTGTAGAGGTAGAGGATTGGGGGGGGGGGGGGGGTGGGGCTTCGTTCTTCTTTCACTCCTGTTAATGCTAAGCCCTTAGCCAGTTTCCTAGGCTACAGAAAAGCAGAGGTGAAGTCTGATCTTGTGCTCAGCAGCTGGGGAAGAAATCTGGGCTGCCAGGTTATGCAGCACTGGGCGTGCTCAAGCCCACTGATTTCAGCGCAGAAGGCTGGCGGTGCTGAAACATCATAAGGCATAGATGTCGCATCAATAGCAGCCTCTTGCTGCCGAGTTCCTGGAAGGCGCTGCCAATCATGCCTGGCCCCACCCACCCCGTGTGCCACCTGTTTGGTTTTGGCTGCAGGGAGCAGGACCGGCCCCAGCCAGCAGTCCCAGGTCAGGAGGAGATCAGTGATTTCCCCAAAATTAGAGAGGCATAGGTGAATTCGATCTCTGCACTCTCCGCAACCAGAGCCTGTCCCAGACCCAAAAAGCCACCTTGCCCTGGAGGTAGCCAGGTCTTTAGATATCGGTGCGCTTTCCCTTGCAGAATCGTGCCTCCTGCTTTTCTGTTTGCTTGTTTTTTGAGCCACAACACAGTAGAGAGAATATTCTGGTGCCCCACCACCTTAAGAAACCAGCCCATGAATAAAAGCAATATTTATAGGAACGGTAGCTTGGTACCGGCAGCTGTTTGGTTCTGGAGAGACGTTAACCTCTCCTGGTCTCCTGTGACCTTTGCAGTCTCTGTAGGTGTATATTTTGCGGCTGTGCTTTGAAGGGCACTGCTTCGTTGGGGATTGCAAAGGATTTTCTTAAAAAGTGCACCCCACCAATGTGCTCCCCGCTCTGGAGTGTTTCGTCTGGTCACAGCACTGGCCCTCCCAGCCCCACACACCGCCCAGCGCTATCTGTCAAAGAGCATACAGTTGATGGTGGGCATGGGAGACCGGAGGGGTTGTGAGCAGGCGGGGAAAGGAGGCACAGGCAGATCTACGTCCCTCTTTCTCTAGCTTTCTGCCTCTGGATTCCTTCCATTTCCTCCTTCCCATAGGGTTGGGGATAGGGTTGCCAGCTTTGGGTTTGGAAATTCCTGGAGATTTTGGGGGTGGAGTCTGGATTCCTTCCATTTCCTCCTTCCCATAGGGTTGGGGATAGGGTTGCCAGCTTTGGGTTTGGAAATTCCTGGAGATTTTGGGGGTGGAGTCTGGAGAGGGCAGGATTTGGGAGGGGGGGGTATAATGCCGTAGAGTCCACCCCCCCAAAGCAGCCATTTCCCTCAGGCAAACTGATCTCTGTCTCCTGGAGATCGGTTGTAATCCCAGGAGATCTCCAACCGCCACCTGGAGGATTGGCAGCCCCAGGTGGTCATTTGGGGTTCAGAGCTGGGAGGGGGGGGTGAGCCAGTCTGCTCCGTCTTGGATCCCCTGAACCGTCTCTTGTTCATCCATTTTCCCATCAGGTGTGGAGTTTGGTTCACGCATGATCAGCATCGACAACAAAAAGATCAAACTACAGATCTGGGACACGGTGAGAACTCCCTTAAGAAGGGGCCCTTTGTCCTGGACCGCTGGGGAGGAAGCAGAGAAAGCGAGGACCTGATTGTCGAAAGTGAGACGAGAGCTTCCCTTCCGTGGACAGGAACGATGTTGCCGACTGTTTCCCTTTCCCCCCCCCTCTTGGGATTCTGTTCCTGGCTGCTGGTCTACCCCAGACACCTCACAGAGGTTGCAGATCAGGAAATACCGGCTGTAGCCTGCTTGTAGGTGCCAGGGCAGAAAGCTGGAAGGGAGAAGGATCTAGCCGAGAAGGACCGACAGAAGGGAGAGAGCCTGGCGCTGCGGGAGGGTGTGCGTGGGAGTTGTAGTCTGGGATTAAGGGAAGGGGGTGGGGGCTGGAAGAATGGGCCAGGAGACGGTGACTTCAGTCGGCAGGCAAGCAGAGGGAGTGGCTGTTCAGGACTTCAGGCAGAGATGCGGAAAGACCTGTTGCCTGTTGCACTTCAAAAAAGGATGTGGACAGAACGGAGCGGGTGCAGAGGAGAGCGACGAGGATGATCAGGGGCCTGGAGACCAAGCCCTCGGAGGAAAGGCTGAGGGACTTGGGAATGTTCAGTCTGGAGAAGGGGAGGCTGAGGGGGGGGGGACGTGACTGCTCTCTTGAAGTATCGGAAGGGCCGTCACTTAGAGGAGGACAGGGAGCTGTTCCTGTTGGCAGCAGAGGAGAGGACTCACAAGAATGGGTTGAAATTAAGGGCGGGACGGTATCGGCTGGATATTAGGGAAACCTTTTTGATGGTGAGAGTTATCCAACAGTGGAATCAGCTGCCTAAGGAGGTCCCTCACTGGCTGTACGAGCAGCGGCTGTACAAACACTTGCCAGGGATGCTCTCCGCTGGTCCTGCATTGAGCAGGAGATGGGACTAGATGGCCTGGATGGTCCCTTCCAACTCTGTGGTTCTATGATTCTGTTTGTAGGCGTACGTGTGCTGTCTGGCTGCTGCTCAGGCCTCTTTGGATCAGGCCTTTCCCGTGCTCTACTAGGCAAGTGACTCAAGCTTCATCCTGAAGAGCTGGATGAGTCTAATTTTTTTTAAGCTTCCAGTCCTCATAGTCCCAAGAAGCAGCAGCAACACTCAGAAACTCAGAGGAGGACAAGGCGTTTCAAATCACAGGGGCTTTCCTTGCTCCCCTGCACCCGACTGTCCAGTTCCGTTTACCTTTCCCTGCTTCCCTTTGACCCCCAAAGTATTTTATTGGAATTTATGCAAAATAAACCCACCGCATCCTGTATCTTGCAAAACGTCTCCAGGGTTTCAGTTGCTCCGATGCAAGATTTGGCCAGGGCTGGCAAGGGAGAGGTGAGAATATGATATTCCCCTTGGAGTCCCATGCCTTCTGTGTGGAGGGACCACGGTTCAGTGGAAGAGCATTTGTGTTGCCTGTAGAAGGTCCCCGGTTCAATCCCCGGCATCTCCAGTTAAAGGAGCCAAGCAGCGGATAATGTGAAAGACCTCTGCCTGAGACCTTGGAGAGCTTCTGCCGTTCTGAGTATACAACACTGAGACGGACCGATGGTCTGATTCAGTATAAGTCAGTTTCATGTGTCCGTGTGAGAGAAAGTCCTGCTCGGCTGGCAGTCTCTCACCCCTCCAGCAGATGGCACCAGAGAATTCATCCAGCAACAGGAGCAGGACTCTTAAAAAGAGAGAGAGAGAACTGTAATTTCATAGAATCATAGAGTTGGAAGGGACCTCCAGGGTCATCTAGTCCAACCCCCTGCAGCATTCAGGAAGTTGACAAATACCTCACCCCACCCCCAGGGACCACTGCTCCATGCCCAGAAGAGGGTGGGAGGGAAACCCCTCCAGGATCCCCGGCCAAACTGGCCTGGAGAACAATCGCTTCCAGACCCCAAAGTGGTGATCAGCATTTCCCCGGGCGTGTCAGAAAGGGCCACAAGAACTAAGCCCTGATGCAATGCTTCCTGCCCTCCCTCTCATGATCCGTCTGAGTCCACAGAATCAGCACTGCTGTCAGATGGCCATCCAGCCCCTGTTTGAAAACCTCCAAAGAAGGAGAGCCCACCACCTCCCGAGGAAGCCTGTTCCACTGAGGAGCCGCTCTAACCAATGCTCTCTCTAAGCTGTGGAATCTTGTGAGCAAGAATTCTACTGTGTGAGCAACTGGCCTTAAAGTGGTGAGCGAGCAATTTGGCTACTGCATACATTAGTTTGCTCTGGAGCCCTCCTTCCTGAGCTAAGACAAAAATGTGTGAGCTGGAGGCTAAAAAACTGTGAGCTAACTCACACTAACTCAGCTTAGAGGGAACACTGACTCTAACTGTCAGGAAGTTCTTCTTTATGTTTAGCTGAAAACTCTTTTGATTTAATTTTTACCCGTTGGTTCTGGTCCAACCTTCTGGGGCAACAGAAAACAACTCTGCACCATCCTCTCATCCTCTCTATGACAGCCCTTCAAGTACTTGAAGACGGTTATAATATCACCTCTCGGTCGCCTCCTCTCCAGGCCAAAAATTCGACACAGTGCCACCTGTGGACTGCCGTATGGAGTCTTAAGTCCTGGGCAGTTGACGCTGCAGATGCTATGATGAACTTCTGGTTTGGATGCACAACGCTGGGCTTATTTCGACAGTCGGCAGAGGCTGTTTCCAAACAGGTCTCTTCCCACCTGTGCTTAACCCTAATGACCTGTCTGGTTGCCTCCCCCCAGGCTGGACAGGAATCCTTCCGATCCATCACCCGCTCGTACTACAGAGGAGCAGCCGGGGCCCTGCTAGTCTACGACATCACCAGGTGGGTCCAGGGCTGCCATCCTCCTGGTGTGGCCTGGAGATCTCCCAGAATTCCGGCTGATCTCCATACCGCAGAGATCAATTCCCCTGGAGAGAATGGCAGCTTCAGAAGGTGGGCTGTATACCCAGCCGAGGTCCCTCCCCTCTCGAAACCCCACCTTCCTCAGGCTGTACCCCCCAAATCTCCAGGAATTTCCCCACATTGAGTTGGCAACCTAGGTGGCTCTGTAAATCTGCTGTCTTGTCCACGTCATGAGATATATCCTAAAACGTGTCTGTTCTTATGTACTTTTCATAACCTTTGCAGAAGGGTCACCAGCCAGTCAGGGAAACCAACTGTAGCTGAAAAAGAAGTCGAATCACAGCTTGATAATTATTAGCAAAGTATTTAATATAGCCTTTTCTCATCTTGCTTGTGAAGCCAGCGAGCATTATCAGATATTGGAATGTGGAGTGAATATAAATAGGACAGACGGACTCCCGTTCTAGCTGTATCCGAAGAAGCGAGCGGTGACTCACGAAAACTCCTCCCCTGCCACATATTTTTTTAGTCTTTAAGGTGTTACTGGACTCTCGCTCTTTTCTCCTGCTACAGACCAGAGGTCATTTCGGGGGGGATTGCAGTTCCCCCGGGTGAGGTACGGGGGGCGGGGCACATGACGAAGCCCCGCCCCCCGCTTCCGGCCGCCCTGCTTCCGGCCCTCATTCAGCCAGGAAGCTAGCTCTTTTTCTACGAAACGACCCCTGCTACAGACAGACTAACATGGCTACCCATCTTGATCGACTTCCATTATACTAGAACTCAGAATCACCCAGTGGATGGACAGTAGATTCAGAACGTACAAAAGGAACACTTTGCTAAAGCACTGAATTCATTGTTATGGTGGCCACCAGCAGATGGGCGATTAGTCAAATTCTTGGAGGAGAGGTCCCTCAGTGGCTGCTGGCCAAAATAACTAAATGGAATCTCCACGTTCAGAGGTAGTAATCCTCTGGATAACAGTGCTGGAAGGGCAAGAACAGAGGAAGGTTTTAGTCTCTGCTCTGCTCCTAGGTTTCTCGGGGTGCATCTGGTTGGCCACTGTGTGAAACAGGATCCCGGACCAGAGAGAGACCATTGGTTGTGTGGAAAATAAAACCCTGCGCAATTGAACTGGATTAGCATCTGGCTTTGTAGAAAAGCGTTCCAAAATAGGTCTATACAGGGGTCATTTCGTAGACAAAGAGGTGCAGGAGCTCACTAGCATAACTCATTAGCATAACTTATTTGCATATGCCACACCCCCTGACATTACCGGAAGTGTGTCAGAAGGCAACACCCACCACTCAGGCTCCACTGGACTGTTTTGGATTGCTAGCTATTGGGGGGAGGATGTGCAGATCTGCCCTCGCAGAGGAGGGAGAGCTTGTACCTGAATAAAACAGTCTTAATGGTGCCACTGGACCGTTTCGGACCGGGGGCTGAGGGGGGGCTCTGCAGCTTACCTGGCTGCTTCTTGCTCTGACTGAGGGCTGGAGGGGGCGGGCTTGTTGCATGTGCCCGCCCCCTGGGCTCTTTACTGCCGGAGCTCCGCTCCTGTGTGCTCCTGCAGGAAATGACCCCTGGGTCTATATAAATAAATAAAAACAGGCTGAAGCTGGCTCGAAGTGTCCTGAAAGATCTCCCCAAGAGTTAAGTCATGAGAGTGTTGCTGCAACGGCACATGCTCAGAGGTGCTCTTTGACATGTGTTCCAACACTGGAGGAAGCAGATTGTGGAGGAATCTCCCAATGGTCGCTCAAGGAAGCTCTCAGGAGGATCCCATTTTAAGCACCAGAACACTGCTGTCAGTCCCTAGTCTCTTTCAGGCTTCCACAGATATTGCGGTCCACCTTGAGCAGCTTTTTCTGTTTCTACCTCTGCGCAGGCGGGAAACCTTCAACCACTTGAGCTCCTGGCTAGAAGACGCCCGGCAGCACTCTTCGTCCCACATGGTGTTCATGCTGATTGGCAACAAAAGGTATTTCTATTGTTTTCAGGTCTTGGGCCAAGGATCTGAGTCAAGATTGGTGACGAGAGCAATGTGGATTCTTCTGACCTGGGCTTCATCATGTTTTGATGGTGTTTCAGTGCTGTTTTCATCACTGGACAGGGCTCAGTTGACTATTTTGTACCTGTTTTGTATGCATTTATTGCACCCAGGGGTCATTTCGTAGAAAAAGAGGTGCAGGAGCTCATTAGCATAACCTATTAGCATAACTCATTTGCATATGCCACACCCCCTGACATCACCGGACGTGTGTCAGAAGGCAACGCCCACCACTCAGGCTCCACTGGACTGTTTTGGATTGCTAGCTATTGTGGGGGGGGTGGAACGTGCAGATCTGCCCTCACGGAGGAGGGAGAGCTTGTACCTGAATGAAACTTGGTCTTAAAGGTGCCACTGGACTGCTTTGGACTGGGGGGCCGGGGGGGGGGGCTCTGCAGCTTACCTCGCTGCTTCTTGCTCTGACTGAGGGGCTGCTGGGAGCAGGGGGTGGGGCTTGTTGCATGTACCCGCCTCCTGGGCTCTTTACTGCCGGAGTTCCGCCCCTGTGCGCTCCTGCAGGAAATGACCCCTGATTGCACCCTTCCTCCAAGGAGCTTCCTTGGGATGGTATCCGTGATTCACACCTCCTCCATTTCAGTGACGCGGTGGAGTGGTCAAGAGTGACAGACTCTAACCTGGAGAGCCGGGTTTAATTCTGCACTCCTCCCCGTGAAGCCGGCTCTTCCCCGGTCTTAGTTCCGCTCTGTAGCCTCACACCTCACTGGCTGTCTTAGACTCAGCCGGAAGGCTGAGAGGACATCAGCCTGGAGTTGTCCGTCTCTCTCTTAGATGCGGCAGGTGCAGCCTCGGACTTTGCATCGCCCACCAGCAGCCTGCAGTGATGAGCCGCTCGCTCTGATTGCACGAAAGCCCCTAGACAGGTGGCTGCAGAGTCTGGAGGTCGGTGAAGTGTCAGTTGAAGAGCGTATGACATTTCAGAATGCACCTTTGCTGCTGATCCATTTCCTGACTCTGAAAAGGGAAGAGGAAAGATTTTTTTAAAAAAAAAATTAAAATGGATATGTATACTTTTTACACCAAAATCCCACCCAAACATGAACGTTCTCTATTTATATAGGTGTGTGTGCGCACGTGCATGTGTGTGTGTGTGTGTAAGTATGTGCGCACCTGGGAGTCGTGGCAACCTCTGGTGATTGACTCCTACTGGGGGCCTGGATGATATTCAGAGAGGTGGCTGACTAAAGCCTGCCCCCGCCTGCCACCTCTGGTATTCCAAGGAGGTCTCCCATCCAAGTAGTTGCCAGAGTCGCCCCTGCTTAGTTTCCGAGATCTGACGAGATCGGGCTTGCCTGGGCTGGCAAATACCAGGAAGTTTGACCAAAAGGTCCAGTTGGAGCGATGTTTTTGCATTCTGTCTTCTCAAGGCGTTCGGTTTTTCTGGCGAGACACAGAGGGGCACCATTGCTCTACCAATCTCTCGTCTAGCTTAGCTTTTCTGCCGCTGATCGGTAGAGGTCTGTTAACTCCTCCTTGTGATATGCCGGCTTTTACAAAGCCAAGCCACTGGTGCCACTTGGCCCTTAAGATCCCAGGCCAAACTCACAAAACTCACTTCCCATGTTTAGAAACAGATATATTTAAACTAGACCAAATCCTAAACACAACACCGAAATCCTAATCCTCATCTCTGAACCGGGAAGTCAATTCATGCTGAGTCAGGCCTTCGGTTTGTGTCGCTCGGGACTGGCTCTGGCTGGTAGCAGTTCCCCGGCAAAGAAAGATCTTCCCCAACCCCAAATCCTTTAACTGGCGATTCCAGAGACTGAACCTGGGACTTGTTACATGCAAAGCGAATGCTCTGGCACCAAGCCGCACCTTCTGCTTGAAGCGCCTGTCTGCTTGATCTCCTTTTTAACCAGTGATTCCCAGCGATGAAGCCTGAAATCTTCTGTCTGCCAAGCATGTGCCATGCACTTTGGGCCCTCCCCGTAGAACTCTGACAGAGAATCAGCATGGTTGTGTGTGTCTTATTATGGGGAGGGGCCGTGGCTCAGTGACAGAGCATCTGCTCTGCGTGCAGAAGGTCCCAGGTTCGATCCCCAGCATCCCCAGTTAAAAAGGATCTGGTGATGTGAAAGACCTCAGCCAGAGACCCCAGAGAGCTGCTGCCAGAAAGAGTAGACACACTGCTGATCTTGATGGATCTGTGGTCCGATTCAGTATGAGGCAGCTTCATTGTTCATGTATTAAGCCAGCTGCTAGTTTAAAGAGGCCTGTCCGAGATTCTGAAAGAGTATTTTGAGCACAGAGAGGGGGCACAGGTTCTTACTTTGTCTATTTTAGGTTTGGGTGTTGGCGGTTTCTGCGTGCCGAGAGTTCGATTTCCTCTTGGCCAGTGGTGGGTGACCCTGGGGGAGCATCTTCGGTTACAGAAGTGAAAGTTAGATCGAACAGCCCAGAAAAATGGTTTGTGTCCCATGCTGGCGATCAGGTCGGAGGGGGGATTTGAACTTTGGTCTCTAGCGACTTGCATCCCACCAGCTGCGTGTGTTCAGGTGTCCTTAATCTGACTTATTCATCCCCTGCTGTGTTCTGTGGTGAGCATTCGGGGCGTTTGCAAATAACTAAGTGTTTTTAACTTTTTTAAAAATTTTATCTTTGCAAAAAATGACTGATTGGTTATTACTTGCTTGGATTTAGTGTCGGTCACATCTTTTTATCCTGTTCTGTTGCTATGGCTTTTTTGCTAATGCAATAAAGATATATATATAACAGGGCTTTTTTTGTAGAAAAACTCCAGCAAGAACTCATTAGCATAATAGGCCACACCCAGCAGCAGACACTCATTAGTATATTAGGCCACACCCCTGATTGCACCACTCATTAGCATATTAGGCCGCATTCCCATGTTACTAGAAGTGTGGTCATCCAGCCACACCCACCTTTTGCTTGTTATTCTGTTTATCTTGTTTTTTGTCAAAACCCAGGGCCTTTTTTTGTAGCAGGAACTCCTTTGCATGTTAGGCCACACACCCCTAATGTAGCCAATCCTGATGAGTTCCTGCTGTTGGGTGTGGCCTGTTATGCTAATGAGTTCCTGCTGGGTGTAGCCAACTTGGGAGCCAGCCGGAACTCCGTTCCTGTGCGTCCCTGCCCAAAAATAGCCCTGTAATAATATTAAACAACTTTAGAAACAAAACAATAACTAAGTGCAGGCAGTTGGACTACCTGATTATCCCTTCCTTTTCACACTGCTGCCCTTTGCTCACAGTGGTGTGTCGGTGGTCCTTCCCTTTTCTTGGTATTTTTGTGTGTGTGCGTGCGTCTGTACCTGGAAGTCACGTTGACCTCTGGTGACTGACCCCTACTGGGGGCCTGGAGGATATCCAGAGAGATGGTTGAATGAAGCCTGCCCCCGTCCTCCCAACTTGGTATTCTAAGGAGGTCTCCCATCCAAGTACTGACTACAGTCAACCCTGCTTAGCTTCTGAGATCTGACGAGATCGGGTTTGCCTGGGCTATCCAGGTCAGGGCTGTCCTCCCCATTTTTGAGAGTTTCGAGCCTTCATTTTCTTCCTGCAGCGACCTGGAGCACCGGCGGGCCGTGAAGAAGGAAGAGGGCGAAGCTTTCGCCCGGGAACACGGCATGGTTTTCATGGAGACGTCAGCCAAGACGGCAGCCAACGTGAAAGAGGTGAAGAAAGAGCGGCCTGGCCTCTCCTCCGCTCCCCTTGAGCATTTGCAGAAGTCGTTTGCGGGAGGAGCAAGGCGATGTGGAAGCCCTGCCCCTGAGAGTCTCACTCATCACCCAGCCATTGTGATTTGTCAGCAGTTATCCATAGGGCTTAGGAGCTCACTTTTCCATTATTCAGTGGAAGGGGGGGGGGTTTAATCCCAATTTGGCTCCAGAACCCAATCCACATTTGCATCAGGTGACTGCAGAACTGGCCCAATGGCCGCGTGTGTCTGCATTTGACGCCGGTCTTGTGGGCCCGTGACTTGCAGCATTGCAGGCAAGTCCACGCAAGTCCCTTGTTCCTAGCACAAAGTCCTAGCAACCCGTGTTACCTGCCCACCTGCTCGCCCGCCTGTGCTCTTGACACTAATCGGAAGTGGGGGACCAACCCCGCTCCCTTCTAGTTTGTAAACGCTGCCCTGCCAGAGTGCTTTGGAGATAAGATCCGCCATAAAGAAGGTGGCTGTTGTGCTCATTGCCTGGAGCCCAAAGGCCGCATTCTGAGATGCTCTGCCCCATTCTTCCACCGTAGCCGACTTGCCGTGACCAAGTTGAGTGTCGACTCCGCAGAGGCTGCGGCTCTATCTCAGGGTTCCCCAACATGGTGCCCTCCAGTATTTCCCTTGGCACCCACTGACATTTTCAGAAGACGGATGGGGCAATTGTAAGGCAGGGCTTGTTATGGGCTGCCCTCATTCAGATGAAAGGGCTTTCCACGGGAGGCTCAGAAGGACCAGGAAGTACCTGGGCTTTCCTCAGTCGGCTGTTTGGTTCCATTTCGCTTTAGGCTTTCCTTCTTTCTAGGAGGTGTCTATGTCTGGGGGGAGTTAATCCCACTTGGCTCCACCCCCCACTGAAAGTATTTTGGGTTTGGCTCTGCCTTTTGTGGATGCCATTTTTTGGGGTGGGGCTCACCACCCCCTTCTCAAAATTCCAAACAGGCCCACAGACGCCGAAAGCTTGGGGACTCCTGCTCTATCTCACACCCCAACTTGCTGAATCTCCGGGAGGATGAGAGAGTCCCTAACGTTGTCGATCCTAGAGGATGGGTGGGTGGTTACACATGGGAGAAGGCAGTCCTTAAGAAAAGCAAATGAAGCTGCCTTCCAGTGGGCCAGGTCATTGGCCCGTCAAGCTCAGCATTGTCTGAGTAGAGGTCTTTCGCACCACCTCAGCTTGCTACTTGACCTTTCGAACTGGCGATGCCAGGGATTGATCCCGGGACCCATAAAACAGACGCTCTGTCACTGAGCCACAGCCCCTTCCCAATTCCAGAGACAATTGAGGTTAAGACAATAGAAGTCAAGGCCAGAACTTGGAATCCAACCCAGAAACAAATAAGCCATTTAGCTAGGCCAGTTCCTACATCAGTGTCCAGTTCATTAACCTGGCCTCTGCATTTTGGACCCATTGTAGTTTCCAGAATTGTCTTCTGGGTCTCCAGATTACAAACTGGCCTTTGTTACTCTCCATTACCCCCCTTCCTGATTGCAGTCTTTCACTCTGCCTCCCCTAGGCCTTCTTCAGCACAGCCAGAATCATCTACAAAAAGATCCAGGAAGGCCACCTGGACCTTACCACCGAGGTGAGCGTGGCATGCCAAGGGCTTTGCCCCTCCAAACGCAGCCTGGCAGGGGCTCCGTGGAGCCTCCTGATTTTGTTCCTGCCTGGGGACTGCCTAAACCTGAGAAGGACCAGAACCATGTCAGGCCAGTGTACGCGGTTGGTGGGGCTGCATTTTGTTTGGCGAGTCGCTGGGCTTGATGGACTTCCATTTTTCAAAATGGGTAGGGATTCGAGTCCTGCCCTCTGCACCAAATACCTTGTCTGTTCCTGGCGGTGGATTCTGAAGTCAGTGTATTTGTGTCGTGGCCAGTGTTCCCTCTAAGCTGAGTTAGCGTGAGCCAGCTCACCGTTTCTTAGCCTCCGGCTCACACATTTTTGTCTTCGCTCAGGAAGGAGGGCTCCAGAGTGAATTAATTTATGCAGCAGCCAAATGGCTCGCTCACAGCTTTAATTGCCAGTAGCTCACAAAGTAGAATTTTTTGCTCACAAGACTCCGCAGCTGACAGGGAGCATTGGCCATGGCCCCATCCTGGAGAACCCTCAGAGCAGTCCTGCTGTTGAGGTAGAAGACAGTAAGGCCCTCTGAATTGTGGTCAGCAGGAGGGAGGCCTGCTCGTGAGCAGTGTTCCCTCTAAGCTGAATTAGTGTAAGCTAGCTCATAGTTTTTTAGCCTCCAGCTCACACATTTTTGTCTTGGCTCAGGAAGGATGGTTCCAGAGCAAACAAATTTATGCAGGAGCCAAATCTCTTGCTCACAACTTTAATTATAGTAGCTCACAAAGTAGAATTTTTGCTCATGAGACTCCACAGCTTAGAGGGAACATTGCTCGTGAGTGAGGGCTGGTTTGCGGCAGAAAGCAACGCTCCCTCTAAGCTGTGGAGTCCTGTGACCAAAAATTCTGCTTTGTGAGCTACTGGCATGAAAGTTGTGAGCGAGCGATTTGGCTGCTGCATCAATTGGTTTGCTCTGGAGCCCTCCTTCCTGAGCGAAGACAAAAATGTGTGAGCCGGAGGCCAGAAAACTGTGAGCTTGCTCACGCTAACTCAGCTTAGAGGGCAACACTGAAGCCGTAGCTAAAGGGGAAAGACTAAGAATCAATTGATTGATTGGTGATTGGGGAGCAAGTATATGAACGAAAGGCTGCCAAAGAAGAAAGGCATTCTCTTTGTCTTTTAGGAAAGGGGAGGCCCAGGAGGAAAGAGCCCCTTTGATCCTCTGTAGCTAGGGAGGGGAACCAAAGCAGGGGCAGATTAACCATTAAGCAGACTAGGCACGTGTTTAGGGCCAGGGCCAAAGGGGGCACCACAAAGTTGGGAAAAGGGTGGAAAGCTTAGTTTGTACAGTCTATTGAGGCCCCAGTCACACGGCAAGGTTGCCGCGGGAGAGGCACGGAAGGTGGGCGGATTATCCGGGCCCGATCACACCCCAACATCTGGGAAGTGGAGCGCACCCGTGGCATACCGCCGACAATGCGCATCTAAAAACTAGTACCTCCAAGGTACTAGTAAACGTTTGCCACGGGCTGCCTCCAGACGCCTGTGGTGTGATCGCGCTGGCGCGCGGCATTCCCCTCCGGTTCCTCATTTACCCTCTGCCGCCGAGGGAAGGAACCAGCGCGTCTGATCATGTAATCGTGAATCAGACAGACGTGCCGGGGGCAATTAGCCCCCCCCCCCCCCCCCCCACGATATCCAGCCTGTGTGACAGGAGCCGGTGTTATCCTATGAATAAATTTTTGTATTGCTGCAACCTGCATTGTATGTCTGGTCAGACAGGTCAACAACTGAAATGGACTGGGGGTCAGCGTGGAAAGGAGGGGGGGCACCAAGATTGGTCAGTGCTTCGGGCACCCGTGAGCCTTCATCTGCCCCTGACCACAAGCCACAGAAGAGAGGGAATTGGGTGCAAATAACTCCATTTCCTTGGGTTGAGGCCAAAGGAGCCTACAACATCCCGTACCCTTTCCTGTCTACTTATCATATTTTCTATCTCTCTTCTAGGAGCTCAGGGCAACATCCCTCATTTTATCTTCGTAGCGCCTCTGATGGCGGGTTAGGCTGAAAGAGGGTGTCTGGCCCCAGGTCAGCCAGTGGGCTTCATGGCAAAGTGGGGATCTGAGCCCAGCTCTCCCAAGGCCTTGCCCACCAATCCAACCGCTACTTGCATCAAGCAGCTCTAAAGTTAGATTAAAATAGCACACTCCCATCTATGGAAGGCCAATGCAAATACAAAAATCTCCTGGGAAATGGGAGGTTCTGGCTTTGAAACTCTGGAAGAGAGCCATGACCAGTCGGTCAGAGGAGTCGGTTTTTTAAAAATCCTCATTGATTGGCAATATTTATTTATTTTATTTATTTATTTTTCACATTTGTACCCCGCCCTCCCCGATGGGCTCGGATGCTTCTGATTAATCTGCAATAGATTAAAAACAAAACAAAGTGCCCTGACCTGGATAGCCCAGGCAAGCCTGATCTCATCAGATCTCGGAAGCTAAGCCGAGTCGACTGTGGCAAGTACTTGGATGGGAGACCTCCTTGGAATACCAGAGGCGGGAGGCGGGGGCAGGCTTTCTTCTCTGAATATTGTCCAGGCCCCCAGTAGGGGTCAGTCACCAGAGGTCGCCATGACTTCCAGGTGCACACACACACACACACACACACACACACACACACACAAATACCAAGAAAATACCCCAAACAAAACAAAGCCACGTGGTATTCTACTAATACAAGTTTGTGGCTGGCTGGTACCATCTTAGAAGAGCCATTTTCTCGTGTGAGCAAGGTGGAGTTTGGATTCTTCTTCAAAGGTAGTGCCTCCTAGGACACACGAGTGCGTCATCTAAAGACAAAGAGAGAAACATGTTCTTCTTGCCGTGTTTATTTGCTAAATGATAAGTATATTATAAGGGGTGGAGGGGAAGTAGAACCCAAGGCATGCCGTTCAGAGCCAAGTGCTAGTTAGAAACATGAAAACAGCTCTTGCTATTTAAGAACCCAAACAAAAACCAGAGAGGGAATGCTTTATCCTGCCTTTGGTTGGATTTCATTCAGATGCAAACGTACGGAGATTCAATCAACTATTGAATCATTCAATCAATTCAATCAATTGAATTATTCAATTGAATAATTCAATCAAATAATTCAATCAGTTCATCGACTAACATGCAAATGAAAAATCAACTAAAGCGCGGGGTAGAGAGAGCTGGCAAAGAGAACTTTTCCTCCCTGTCTCAGAATACTTGAACTGGAGGGCATCAAATGAAGCTGATGGGCAGTAGCTTCAGGACAGACAATAGGAAATACTCCTTTATACAGTGAGTGGTTCAAATGTGGGATTTGTTGCCAGAGGACGTGGTGATGGCCATAGGCATAGACGGCTTTAAAAGGGGATTGTATCGATTCAGGGAGGATGGGGTCTAGCCAGGGTGACTAAAGGGACCCCCACATCCAGAGGCAGCAAATCATTGAATACCAGTGCCAGGAGGCAACATCAAGTCAAAGGCCTCGGCCACTATGCCCTGTTGTATCTCCAGAGGAACTGGAAGGCCACTGTGTGAGACGGGATGCTGGACTAGAAGGACCACTGGTCTGATCCAGCAGGGCTCTTAGGTTCTTGGGAAGGCCGCAGCCTCTATGTCCTGTTGTTGGCCCTCCAGAGGAACTGGAAGGCCACTGTGTGAGACGGGATGCTGGACTAGATGGACCACTGGTCTGATCCAGCAGGGCTCTTCTGATGCTCTTTATGTTCACTGGCTACGACCCTGCTCTGCAGCTGTGAGGCAGTCCCTCCACAGACTTCTCTCCATCTCCGAGAAGGGGCCTGGGATGCAAGGCGGTATGGGCAGGACAGTTGACACTGGGCTGACTCTTCCTTTAAGCTTTTTTGATTTCTCCTCCAGGGAAACGGCATCAAGATCGGACCCTCAGCGGTGCCGTGTGAATCCACCCTCCGCCACGGTCCCATGGGCTCTGGAGACCGATCGGGCTGCTGCTGAGCTCTCCCTAGGATCCAGCCAGGCTTGTGACGCCTCGGGAACACGCAGAGAGCTCCCCCGCGCGCACGGGCACACTCTTGTTCAATTTCCGGCACTGTGTCGGACACGTGGATCTGGCAGCCCGGCCCTTTCGCAACCCCTGCAACTTACCTCTTCCTGCCAGGCGGGGGGGATTGGGACCGTGCCGGACCCAGAGCTGCCTT